AACACATGGAATCATGTAGTAACCAAAAAAGTGTTAAACAAATCAAAATATATTTTATAGTAAATGAGCTTACAATAAAAAAGCAAGGTCTTTTCTGCACAAACGATGCATAGCCATCATATTTCTAATGTTTATCATTGAAATAATGTTGTCAGCTACATTTCCTAATGTTTTGCTTGATGTTAATCTTGCATTTTACCAGAGAAAAGGAGGCTACCCCGAGAAAAGTATGTGAGGAAAAGTAGCTACACACCAGTCAGTGCTCTGTCTGCTGATAGAATGGCCGTTTGTGAATTCTCATCCGAGTAGAGAAGTGCAACTGAAGCACAAAATGTGTCTGATGCCAAGCAGAAATTACAATAAGAAGCAATTAAACCTCAGTTTACAAATGCAGCAAGATATTTCTTATGCGTTTTATCTTCTTATTTTTTTCGTGAAAAACGCGGAATTCTGCGTTAACGCGACCCCTGACAATAAACTGGTCTTAAATACATCTAAAACCAAAAGCATTGTATTTGGTTCAAAGCAATCTCTTAGACCTAAACCTCAACTGGAGTTGTGCATAAAGGATGTGACCATTGAACAAGTTGAAGAAGCTGAACTTCTAGGAGTAACATTGGATGGTCAGTTATCATGGTCAAGTCATATTGGCAAAGTTGTTGTGAAGATGGGGAGAGGTATGTCTGTTATAAAAATATATTTTGTGTTTTTGACACAAAGATAAACTGTTGTTCAGGCATTGATTTTGTCCCATCTTGATTACTGTCCGTAATATTGTCAGGTGCAGCAAAGAAAGACCTCAAAACAAAGCAGCACGCTTTGCCCTTAACGACAGACACAGAACTAACATCAACAATATGCATGATAGTCTTTCATGGTTGAGGGATGAGGAGAAATTGACTACTTATTTTCTAGTCTTTTTAAGGAACATTTGTGTGTTGAAAATGCCTAACCACTTGTATAATCTATTTGCATACACTTCAAACAGACCCACATACCCCACCAAACACTCCACTATGGGTTTCTTCATGGTACCCAAACCAAAAACAGATTTAATGCGTCGCTCAGTTATGTATAGAGCTAAGTCGTCATGGAATGCTCTGCCACCAGAGGTTACTCAGGCAAAAAGTTTAGCGTTAAAAAACAGATTAAAAAAACATTGTATCACAGCGCCTCTCCTCTTTCTAAAGATCTACTTTAACTGTACTGTATATAAGAATATGAACATGTGTATATGAATAGTGTGTAAATAGTATTTTTGTTGTCTCTTGGTGTCTTTCCTATATATAACTCTTATTGTTCTTGTCTATTACTGTTCTGTACTTTGTCATGTATTTGTACATTTTATGTGGACCCCAGGAATAGTAGCTGCTGCATGTGCAGTAGGTAATGGGGATCCTAATAAACTATACACGACCACATGCCTATCCTTGGTATGGTATCCTATACTGTACATTCCATGTAGTGTAGCTACTTATTTTGAACAGAGCCCTATGTCACCCTGGAGAATTGTAGTCCAGCACACTGTATGGGGAATAGGGGTGTCATTTAAACTTACTCCATACTTGTCTTTTCAGGATGACCCCAGAGTCAGACCACCTGGACCTAGGTGGCAAGGCCCTCCTGGTGACCCCGGGACTTGGTGGTCACGCCCCTCTGGTGACCCCGGAACCAGGTCCCGCCCCGTCGCTGACCCCAGAGCCAGGTTATGTCGTTCCGTAGATCCCAGGGCCAGACCACGCCCAGCCAGTGACCATATGGCCAGGTGGCCCCTCATTGACGACCCCACGACCAGACCTCAGGTGGACGACTGCGAGCGGATGGGGACCCTGTTCGGGCAGCTGAACAAGTGCCTGCGCAGCGCAGGCTTCACCCAGATGTACTTTGGGGAGAAGATTGTGGAGCCTGTGATCATCATCATTTTCTGGGTCCTACTGTGGTTCCTGGGCATCCAAGCGCTGGGGCTGGTGGGGACTCTGTGCATTGTCATCATCTTCATCCAGAAGTAACTGGATCTCCGGCCTGTTTGATTGGCAGTTGGGAGCTCCGGTGTCTAAAAATGAAATAATTTTTACTTACAGCCTGAGTCCCTCACTGTCTGTTCTGTTTGCATTAAGGCTTCCTAGATTCGGTGAGCGTTCCTCGATGCTCAGCTTCATAGTGGCCAACTACACTATAGGTTATATGGATGAACATTTAGAGTGCTGCTGAATAAAATGGAGGCCTTGCTTCTAACTACTGGTTGCCTGGTTTCAAGCTTTTAAATCAAATCTAACTCTAAATCAGACCACTTGGCTCACTAACTGTATCCCAATACTCAAAGGCGATGTCTCATCTCCTTACATGTGTGAGTACTGATTTGAAAGACCTGGATCAGTGAAAGCAATATGTCTCAGAGCTTAAAGGTAGAGTCAGCGAAATGACATTGCATGAGCAGCACTGCAGATATTGCGATGAGCAAGATGCAAGACTTCATACTCACACAGTCACGTACAGTATCTGCGCATGTACACGGTTTCGCTTCAAGCTCTTACAGCATGGTAGCTACTGGACAAAAACAGCAGAGAAATTTAGCGTCACGCTCCAACTCTCTTGGTTGTTGCGGAAATTGTCCATTTGGAAGACCCACTATACTGTTTACTTTGTGCATCTACAGTTGAAGTCGGAAGTTTACATAAACCTTAGCAAAATACATTTAAACTCAGTTTTTCACAATTCCTGACATTTAATCCTAGTAAAAATTCCCTGTCTTAAGTCAATTAGGATCACCACTTTATTTTAAGAATGTGAAATGTCAGAATAATAGTAGAGAATGATTTATTTCAGCTTTTATTTATTTCATCACATACCCAGTAGGTCAGAAGTTTACATACACTCAATTAGTATTCGGTAGCATTGCCTTTAAATTGTTTAACTTGGGTCAAACGTTTCGGGTAGCCTTCCACAAGCTTCCCACAATAAGTTGGGTGAATTTTGGCCCATTCCTCCTGACAGAGCTGGTGTAACTGAGTCAGGTTTGTAGGCCTCCTTGCTCGCACACGCTTTTTCAGTTCTGCCCACACATTTTCTATAGGATTGAGGTAAGGGCTTTGTGATGGCCACTCCAATACCTTGACTTTGTTGTCCTTAAGCCATTTTGTCACAACTTTGGAAGTATGCTTGGGGTCATTGTCCATTTGGAAGACCCATTTGCGACCAAGCTTTAACTTCCTGACTGATGTCTTGAGGTGTTGCTATCCCCACAGCATGATGCTGCCACCCCCGTGCTTCACGGTTGGGATGGTGTTCTTCGGCTTGCAAGCAACACCCTTTTTCCTCCATACATAACGATGGTCATTATGGCCAAATAGTTCTATTTTTGTTTCATCAGACCAGAGGACATTTCTCCAAAAAGTACGATCTTTGTCCCCATGTGCAGTTGCAAACCATAGTCTGGCTTTTTTACGGCGGTTTTGGAGCAGTGGCTTCTTCCTTGCTGAGCGGCCTTTCAGGTTATGTCGATATAGGACTTGTTTTACTGTGGATATAGATACTTTTGTACCTGATTCCTCCAGATTCCTTGTTCTGGGATTGATTCGCACTTTTCGCACCAAGTTCGTTGATCTCTAGGAGACAGAACGCGTCTCCGTCCTGAGCGGTATGACGGCTGTGTGGTCCCATGGTGTTTATACTTGCGTACTATTGTTTGTACAGATGAACGTGGTACCTTCAGGTGTTTGGAAATTGCTCCCAAGGATGAACCAGACTTGTGGAGTTCTAAAAAAAAAAATTGTGAGGTCTTGGCTGATTTCTTTTGATTTTCCCATGATGTCAAGCAGAGAGGCACTGAGTTTGAAGGTAGGCCTTGATATACATCCACAGGTACACTTCCAATTGAGTCAAATGATGTCTATTAAGCCTATCAGAAGCTTCTAAAGCCTTGACATCATTTTCTGGAATTTTCCAAGCTGTTTAAAGGCACAGTCAATTTAGTGTATGTAAACTTCTGACCCACTGGAATTGTGATGCAGTGAATTATAAGTGAAATAATCTGTCTGTAAACAATTGTTGGAAAAATTACTTGTGTCATACACAAAGTAGATGTCCTAAACGACTTGCCAAAACTATAGTTTGTTAACAAGAAACTTGTGGAGTGTCGAGTTTTAATGACTCCAACCTAAGTGAATGTAAACTTCCGACTTCAACTGTACATCATATAGCTGGCTCTACCTTTAACTAGTTTTGTGTCTCACAAATTAACTGGTAACTATAATTTCAAGTGTTAAGAGATTTTGATCATGAGTGATAGCAATCAAGGAAAGAAAGTATGTCAGTAGTATTTGGATGCAGCCATTGCTTCAAGTAGCATAAGCATTTAAAGGTGCAATCTGTTAGATGATATCTATGGTGTTCAGGGAATTATATTATGTGGGGGAAAAAAATAAATCATTTGAAACATCATTCAGAACCAGTAGCCTAAACCATGGAGTGGGCCCGTCAGACCACATTCCAAGGAGTTTTCTATGAGATTTGCACATACCAGCAGCTCTTAATTTCTATGATACAGTATATTTGTAGTGGTCAAGGAATGACATTCCAGGAGAGCAACATTACTTTTCTCAACATCTGATGCTACATGCCATTTTGTTATAAACAATGGAATGGCGTAAAAGGTCCTTTAGTTTGTGGGTTATAAGGAGTCAAGCCTGTTAGTAATTATAAAAAATCAACAGGTCTGTTGCTGCTGCATTAGTTTTAATTACCAATGACCATCAGGACATCTTACAGATTGCACCTTTAAGGCAAATTGGGAGCAACATCCTAACACCTGCATGCCTCAAAAGGACCTGGAATGCATATCACTGACTGGTTTATTAGGTTCTATAGTAACTGAAGTTGTCCCCCTACTTTTAATATGCATTCAAACATCTCCCTTTGACATGCATGTAAGCTCAAAGTATAGGAGAAATGTGTGCTCATGACAAGCATAGATGTTTAACTTGCACTTACATCAAGCCTATCCTTTTGAATGAGAGTGGTACATACCACAGGAGGTTGGTGGCACCTTAATTGGGGAGGACGGGCTCGGGGTAATGGGTGGAATGGTATCCAATACATCAAACACATGGTTTCCATTCACTCCGTTCACTCCCTTCAGCAGCCTCCACTGTTACATACATTGTCAGGAATCATACCCTTGTTAATGAGAGTGGAATATCACTCCAAATGTAACCAGAAGATGGTGCTGTAAGGCTAACAAGCACTTTTCCTTGTGGTTCTTCATTGTCAATTCATGTGGGAAAGGCTATATCAAATTGCAATGTTGAAACGGACTAAATATATCACTGCTTTTGATGATGATGACTTTTTCAGTCATGTGTGTCCAAATATTCAACATTAACCACATCATCAGAATGGATGATAGCCTACAGTATCTACTTATACTACTGTAAGCCGGAGGACTGCAAAACATGCCCAGTGTTCACTGCATGAGAATAATTGTTTAACTTGTGGAATACTAGATACACATCACATACACTCCTAGAAAAATATTCAGCAACACTATTAGTTGGGTGCAAGAGCCAGGGATGTAGTCCACACTGGTAAATGAACGTTGTCCATAAGTGCTGATCCAAAGTAGCCTTTGCTACCTAATGGTTAAGGTTAGGGAAACCTTATCCAAGATCTGTACTTGGGGTCAATCTCTACCAGTCAAAGAGTGGCCGTCGGCAAGACAAACATATCTCAGGTTTGGATTCATCGACTGTAGAATAAAACAATCATTTTATAATCTTGTGCTGCCAACTAAAATACCTTAGTCCTTGTGGAATGTCTATTAATATTTACAAAGTAGGCTTTTAAGAGTGATTGATCACAAAGCAAAACAAGATGTGGATTTGCAAAGGGAGCGAGTGAATTGAGAGTGAATTTATTGGATTGAATTGACATTGCATCAGATTCACTGTAGGTATGTCTGTGATCAGTTTGTTAAAGGGATGTGTGATCTTTGTTTACGAATTAGAATATAATTAATCTGTTTATGTTGAAATGTTGGGTAAATTACAAGGTGGACGATGTTTGAGAAATTTGTAACCAATTTCTGGCACTAATTGTACACTAAGTGTAAATGCTTTGCTACTGTATGAGTATGAGGGTCGTTCCACCAATTGGGTGCCTTTTGAGTAGTGTAACAATGGTAAAAAGTTAGTTTTGTTTCTCAAAATTGTTACATTCTGTCATAAAGAGCACATGTTCAACTTAATAAAAAAAACCTGTTTTCCCATCTCATTTACATTTACATTTACGTCATTTAGCAGACGATCTTATCCAGAGCGACTTACAAATTGGTGCAATCTCAAGAGCCCGTAACAGGGTTGACGATTTCATCTAAAATCATCCATAAATCCCTGTGACAGGGGGAATGGAAGCTTGTTGTGTGCAACAGGGAGGGGCAATTGAATGCAAGCTTCACAAATAAAAATGAAATTGTTAAAGCATTTCTAGCCTGTCTATCGATGGGTAACAGGGTTGATGTGGTATGCTCGACCCACTCAGTTTTCCACCAGAAAATGGCCAAAAAAGCTGCTTTTACACTAGGGTTTGACTATAAGATGTTCAATGTTTCTTTTGGAAAAAAAATATTTTTAAAGGAATAGCTTTACCATATTAAAACAAGAGTTCAGTTCAGGGTTGACCTTAAAATGAGGGGCAGGTTATTTATTTATTTTTACCTTAAAAGGAATCACTAATCACATTAAATATAGAATAATCGCCAGAAATAACTTAACTAGGGCTTTACAATGATGGTGAAAACTTGGAGAAATGTTGGGTTAAGTGGGTTAAAATCTTCCTAGAAGTCAGAGGGACATGTCAAAATGCTGAATTTTGGCACTTTAGAGTCTATTCATATAAAACATTATTATTCATATTTAACAATGTTATGCATACTTGCAAAATGATTGAACTTGAATTCAAATATGTAGATTAATAAAAGTTCATATGTTTAAAAAAATTGTATTCCTGTGTGTCCTCTTCTCAACGCATGAACATGTGGCGCTGCAGAAATACCAAACTAGTTGAGCAAGTCATGGCCATAGAAATATTTCATTCTAATTCTATGGTCATGACATCATACTGTTCTGATGATAATTGATGACATCATAATGTATTTAAATAAACCTGTTTATGACATAAACCAAAATTCCTCGACCAGAACAGGGAGGTTTCAGGAAGGTCCTGCTACATTTCACCATACCACATGACGCAAGAGCAGGTCAGTGCCTAATTTTTAAATATTTTTCTTCTTTATTTCTCTCTCTTTCTGTAGTGCTTATTTCTTGTTACTTCCCTTTATGGTATGTTATGTACAACTTTAGGAGTATGACAAAAAGCATGCAGTTACTTTATTCTCATTTACCGGCTATCCAGCATCTGCATTACAGCAGTGATTTGGTGAACCACTGATGAATAACCTTGCCTGAGACCTGAAGACATCTTTATGCTCTTTTTATTTTATTTTATTTAACCAGGTAAGCCAGTTGAGAACAAGTTCTCATTTACAACTGCGACCTGGCCAAGATAAAGCAAAGCAGTGCGATAAAAACAACAACACAGAGTTACATATGGGGTAAAACAAAACATAAAGTCAAAAATACAACAGAAAATCTATATATAGTGTGTGCAAATGTAGCAAGTTATGGAGGTAAGGCAATAAATAGGCCATAGTGCAAAATAATTACAATTAGTATTAACACTGGAATGATAGATGTGCAAGAGATGATGAGCTCTTGATCAACCATCTACGCTTTAGCTGAGCGGGCAAACACAGTCATGTGGGACGCTGAGCAGGTGATCTGTGTTGAAACCCAGTCACATAGATCTTGTATATTCATTGTGTGTTAAACGTTACTTTCGGCCGCAGGGGGACCAGCAGCTCTGCAAAGTCCAGGAGGCCCAGCGTGTGGAGCGTGCCGTGCTGCTGGAAGCCGTCCAGGGCCTGGCGATCGAGCTGTCTGTGTGCCAGCAGAGACAGAAGGACCTGCAGGACACCTTCTCCACAGCCCAGAGCCACTGGAGGGCCCAAGAGGAGCAGCTGAACCATGAAGGTAACAATGGCACTCATTTTCATCTAATATGTATGTTATAATTTGGTGCGATGTTTCCCAATCTGTTTTTTGGGGAAGATCCTAGCATTTGCTGCAAAAAAAGCCTGTTTCAGAAGTGTGTGTGGTGTGTGTAATGTCCTCCCTTACCTGTTTGTTGGGAGAACAGAGGCAGATGACCGACAGTTTGATTGAGACAGTCAAAACCGAGCAGAAGAAAGCAGCCAATCAGTTTGCAGAGCGTAGGTCAGTAAATTGATAATGAAAGGCTGTGTAAAAAGGTTGCTACTCAAGAGCTTGATGATTATTTGATTTATTGAATCACAAACACATTTATGATTGCTGGGGACCGGAATTGAAAATCCCAGATTTAAGTTGAAAATGACTCCTTGTTGACCATTTCTTCTTTATTTCATGAAGCATGGAAAAGCCAGGCAATCAGGAGGAGGGCAGACAAGATGAGGTCAAATTTATGTATCTGTTTATTCCTCATTGACCTTAGCACTGTTTATTGAGGAGTTATGCCAGCTGTACATACTTCCCCTTACTTCTCTTTTAGATGGTTGCTGATGCTGCTGAAGGCAAGGGCTACACTCAGAGCAGGCCCCGGCTGCGGCGCACCATGAAGCTCCACTCCGACCTGCACCAGGCCCTAGAGGGCCTCCAGCAGCAGACACCAGCATCACCATCACCCTCCCCATCATTAGACCCCATGAGCTCCTACCAGGTCTCCGTCCAGCAGCTTCAGGAGGAGCTGCAGAGAGAGAAGGACCAAGTATCGCGGCTGGTGGAGCGTCTGGAGAGGGCCGAGCAGAAGTCAGAGGAGCTGAGGCTGGAGCAAGAGCAAGACACCCAGGAAAGCTGGGACACTGTCCACCAGGAGATGGAGACCAACCAGGAGATGGGTGGCTTGGTGGAGCGGATGAGGGAGAAGGTGCAGGAGGTCAGCGCCATACTGCGCCGCAAGATAAGCTGGGGTGGATGGGCTGGGAAGAAGGATGAGGTGGAAGAAGAAGAGGAGGAGGTGGGGAAGCCTGCAAACGCCCTTAACTCAGAGTGCATAAACCAGTGTCAGGCAATGCACCCAGATCCACAAATGCTAGAACAGGCCCAAGGGAACCCAGACCTAGAACCAGAGAAGGGAGCCCAGGACCAGCACTCCTGCCTGGAGACGTTGCTGTGGAGGTGGCAGAGGACGCTGGGGGGACAGTGGGACATTGTGAAGAGGCTGAAGGCCGACATGAAGAGGGAGACAGAGAGCATGCAGGTGCTGGCCGCAGGCCTCTTGGACAACAGACAGAACAGCCTGGACACATGCCAGGTCCAAGCCCTTGAAGAGCACCTGGAGATCTGGAGGCGGAGGCAGAGAGAGATGAAAATGCAGGTAAGATGGATGCTTGTTTAGTTCAAGTGAGTCTTATCTCTCATGCTTTTCATTTTTTCAATTTGTATAAAAAAATAAAATAATAATAATAAAAGGGAAGCTATGCATGTGGGCCTACATTGAGCCCTGAGCTACAAATCCAGTCTAATGTCTAGTGGTTCGCTTTTTCAGCTGTCTGAAATGCAGGCCCAGTTTGACGTGGAGCGGAACCGCTCTGCCGAGTTCCTGAAGGAGAACGACAAGCTGAGCAGGCTGCTTCGCACGGTGGAGTCCTCGGTTGCCGACCTGCAGCCCCTACCCACCTACCACCAGGTCCTAGTGGAGGACGCCATGAAGGACAACTCTATACAACATGGCCGCCACAGGAGCAAGATGTAAAAATAACTCTCAAGGACTGATGAATTAAACTTGACAATATAATTTGCTTTTGTGTTTGCTTACTGTTTCTATTGGCCTCTAAAATATTATAACTTATGGTCTAATTATAACCGTGTTTCATATTAATTTCTGCCATGCCCTTTATATGTCCCTAAGTCAACATAACTTGATTGTTCTTTATCTTTACAATAAGAGCTACAATTATCTACTAGACTATACTGAGCACATACGTTGTCTGGGATTCAAATTTCACTTTAATTTAGAGTTAGCCACACGTACAGCAGATAGCTACCACTCCTACTTACAAATGTTACGTCTCTAATTACCCTTTTATCAGAACAGTAGGGCTTAACCTCTGAAGTTAATTGAGAAGCATTAGAAAACATTTGCACAACCAATAAAACAAAAATCCCAAATGTTGACATTTCCATTTGCAATAAAATGTTATACAAACTCAAATTAATATGAGTTTATATCTGCACATTTTAGTTTAAGTTGTGCATGCTGCAAACAGATATAACACCTGAAAGTAGTTATGTAACAATATGTACCTACACTGTAAGTACATAGGTATTATTACACATTGTAAAAAGGGTAAAGTATTGCTGCTAAAATGGCTATTCAACCTAGTAGTCCTTTCACCTATACACTAACCACGAGGTAATGGGGACAAAGAGAGGAAGCTATTCAATATTATGTGCTTTATTCTGTAACAGCCAGAGCAAACAGGGTCTAATTAGAAAGTGCTGTGACACATTGCCATATCAGCAGTTCATCAGCACAGACAGCTGATACATATTTACCATAATATAGCTTTTTTATAATACACTCTTTTTAATCATATCTCACTCATTTTCAGATTGTATGTTTTGAATAACACGGTTTGAGTCCTGAAATCACCTGTATAATATTACTTAACATGCAACTATCTGAAGACACAGACACAGACTCTGCATATCGTCGTCCTGGAGACACCCTGTATTTCAACAAAGTTATTTTTTAAGAACAACAACGCTTTATTCTATTAATGGGAGTTCACAAGGCATTTTGCATGACTTGTATTAGACCTAGAGTCATTCAACTTTCACACCTTCTGTTTAATTTATCTGTATTTGTATTATTTTACTGCTCTAGGGTTGTTATTATTATAGCTTGGATAACCTGATCTACTATTATGTATTGATTTCTTTTTCATTCTTTATGTGGTTGTCACGGTTTCGGCCGAGACTGCTCCTCCTCCTAGTTCGGGCAGGCTTCGGCGTTCGCCGTCCCCGGAGTACTAGCTGCCACCGCTCTATGTTTCGTCATTTGATTGCTTTTGTCTGTCTGTTACACCTGTGTCCATTTGTGTGTTGATTACGTGTCTTATAAGTTCCTTGTTTTGCACTAGAATGATTGTGTGTTGTTATGACTGCCACTGTGTCGGAGCTACGTGTTTGCACCCTGTTTGTTTTGTGTTTAGTGTTTACGCGTGTGCGTAATTTTCCCTCGCCTCTTGGTGTATTTCGAGGTCGGGGTTTTTCTCGTAAACATTAGACTATTAAAGTCTGTTGGACTTAACCTCTGTGTCCTGCGCCTGACTCCTCCACCACATCCACATCGGTTCTAGTGACAGAACAACACACCAACATGGAGTCAGCAGGAACAGCGGCGGCACCCGAATCCCTGGAAGACCGGATCAACTACCAGGACACCATGATCCGGAAACTCGGGACCGCCATGGACGAGGTGTCCAACACTCTGCGCCGATTGGTGAATCGAGAGGTGCCCACGCACTCTTACAACATCCCATCACCAACGGCCAGTCCTCCTCTCTCAGCACCGGAACCCAGTGGCATTCGGCTCTCGCTCCCGAGGGCATATGACGGTTCTGCAGCCGGGTGTCAGGGATTCCTCCTGCAGGTGGAACTTTACCTTGCCACCATACACCCGGCGCCCTCGGGATACGAGAGCGTCTCCGCCCTCATCTCCTGTCTATCCGGCAAGGCGTTGGAGTGGGCCAACGCCGAATGGAGGGGAATAGACGCCGCAACCATCACCTACGCGGAGTTCTCCCGCCGCTTCAGGGCTGTCTTCGATCATCCACCTGAGGGGAAAGCGGCGGGAGAGCGTCTATTCCACCTCCGACAGGGGAAGAGGAGCGCACAGGAGTTCGCACTGGAGTTCCGGACACTAGCGGCGGATGCGGGGTGGAATGAGAGGGCCCTCATCGACCACTACCGGTGTAGCCTACGAGAGGACGTTCGTCGTGAGCTGGCCTGCAGGGACACCAACCTGTCGTTCGACCAGTTGGTGGACATTTCCAACCGTCTAGACACCCTGCTGGCTACCCGCGGACGTCCCGAGTGGGGGTCGTCCATTCCACCCTCCAGCACCTCCGAGCCGATTCCCATGGAGCTCGGGGGTGCTGGCGCTAGAGAGAGGAGGAGAGGGAACCCGAGGGGGGCCATCCCCTGCACCACCTGTGGTCGTGGAGGACACACCGCGGCCAGGTGCTGGGGAGGGTCTCCTGGGAGAGGTGACAACAGGCCACGCACTGGGGAGTCATTTCAGGTGAGTAGGCGCCCCACTTACCCAGAGCTTTCTGTTGGTCACATGAGTATTCCTGTGAGATTTCCACAGGTGGCACCTCATTCCCAGCATAAGGCGCTAGTAGATTCAGGCGCAGCTGGGAACTTTATTGATCGGGCATTTTGTTGTAGGTTAGGAATTCCCCTTCGGCCGGTAGAAGCTCCATTTCCTGTCCACGCATTAGACAGCCGGCCGTTGGGGTCGGGCCTGATCAGGGAGGTCACAGCACCACTGACGATGACGACGCAGGGGGGTCATGAGGAGATCATTCAGTTTTATCTGATTGACTCTCCTGCGTACCCCGTGGTGTTGGGCCTTCCCTGGTTAAGCACCCATGATCCTACCATAGCGTGGCAACAGACGGCTCTTATGGAGTGGTCTGCCCAGTGTGTAGGGAGATGTCTAGGTGTTTCCGTAGGGGCGACCTCGGTAGAGAGTCCGAACCAAGTGCCCGCACTGCGCATTCCCCCTGAGTATGAGGATTTAGCACTCGTGTTTAGCAAATCGAGGGCAACACGGCTACCTCCTCATAGACAAGGGGACTGTGCGATAAATCTCCAGACAGGAGCGGCTCTTCCACGGAGTCGTGTGTATCCCCTGTCTCAAGAGGAAACAGCGGCTATGGAGACTTACATAGCCGAGTCCTTGGCACAGGGATACATACGGTCCTCCACTTCCCCGGTCTCCTCGAGTTTCTTCTTTGTGAAGAAGAAGGACGGGGGATTGCGCCCGTGTATTGATTACCGTAGTCTCAATCAGATCACAGTTAAATACAGTTACCCACTTCCACTGATTGCGACGATGACGGAATCATTACGCGGAGCGCGGTTCTTCACAAAGTTGGATCTCAGGAGCGCGTACAATCTGGTGCGCATTAGGGAGGGGGATGAATGGAAAACAGCATTTAGCACCACCTCGGGTCATTACGAGTATCTCGTCATGCCATACGGGTTAATGAATGCTCCTTCAGTCTTCCAATCCTTTGTTGACGAGATTTTCCGGGACATGCATGGGCAGGGTGTAGTAGTTTACATCGACGACATCCTAGTGTATTCTTCTACACGAGCCGAGCATGTAGCCCAGGTGCGCCGAGTGTTGAGAAGACTGTTGGAGCATGACTTGTATGTCAAGGCAGAGAAATGCCTGTTCTTCCAGGAGTCCATCTCCTTTTTGGGTTATCGGTTGTCCGCGTCTGGTGTGGAGATAGAGGTAGACCGGGTATCGGCCGTGCGTAATTGGCAAACTCCAACCACTGTAAAAGAGGTGCAGCAGTTCTTGGGTTTTGCTAATTACTACCGGAGGTTTATTCGGGGTTTTGGACAGGTTGCAGCTCCCATTACGTCCCTGCTAAAGGGGGGTCCGGTTCGTTTGCAGTGGTCGGCTGAGGCGGACAGGGCATTTGTCAAACTAAAGAACCTGTTCACCTCGGCTCCTGTGCTGGCGCATCCGGATCCCTCTTTACCATTCCAAGTAGAGGTAGACGCGTCCGAGACCGGTATTGGGGCAGTTCTGTCACAACGGTCCGGCACGCCACCTAAACTCCGCCCCCGTGCGTTCTACTCCAAGAAGCTCAGCTCGGCGGAGCGCAACTATGATGTTGGGGACAGGGAGCTGTTAGCCGTAGTCCAGGCCCTAAAGGTGTGGAGGCATTGGCTTGAGGGGGCTCAACACCCTTTCCTCATTCTGACTGATCACCGTAACCTGGAGTACATCCGGGCAGCTAGGAGATTGAACCCTCGTCAGGCTAGGTGGAACATGTTCCTAACCCGGTTTGTTTTTAAGATCACATACATCCCTGGGTCCCAGAATGGTAAGGCAGACGCCCTGTCCCGGCGGTATGACACAGAGGAGAGGTCCAACGAGCCTACTTCCATATTGCCGGAGTCTTGTTTGGTGGCTCCGGTGGTATGGGAGGTCGATGCGGAAATCGAGCGGGCACTGCGTACCGACCCTACTCCCCCCGAGTGTCCTGTGGGGCGGACGTACGTTCCGCTCGAGATTCGTGATCGACTTATTTATTGGGCTCATACATCACCCTCCTCTGGACATCCAGGTATTGGCCGGACCGTGCACTGTCTTAGCATGAAAATACTGGTGGCCAACGTTAGCTAGGGATGTGAGGGTTTATGTCTCCTCCTGCTCGGTGTGTGCCCAGTGTAAGGCGCCTAGACATTTGCCCAGGGGTAAGCTACATCCCCTGCCCATTCCACAACGACCATGGTCCCACCTATCGGTGGATTTCGTAACCGACCTACCCCCCTCCCAGGGGAATACCACCATTTTGGTCATTGTGGATCGGTTTTCCAAGGCCTGTCGTCTCCTTCCCATGCCGGGTCTCCCTACTGCCCTACAAACCGCTGAGGCCCTATTTACCCATGTGTTCCGGCACTATGGGGTCCCCGAGGATATAGTGTCTGACCGAGGTCCCCAGTTCACCTCCAGAGTTTGGGGGGCGTTCATGGAACGGTTGGGGGTCTCGGTAAGCCTTACCTCGGGGTACCACCCAGAGAGCAATGGGCAGGTGGAACGTGTCAACCAGGATGTGGGTAGGTTTTTGAGGTCCTATTGCCGGGACCGGCCGGAGGAGTGGTCTAGGTTCATCCCCTGGGCAGAGATGGCCCAGAACTCTCTCCGCCACTCCTCCACCAATTTAACACCTTTCCAGTGTGTTTTAGGTTATCAGCCGGTCCTGGCACCATGGCACGAGAGCCAGATCGAGGCCCCTGCGGTGGACGAGTGGATTCGGCGCTCGGAGGAGACGTGGGACGCTGCCCGTGTCCATCTGCAGCGTGCCATCCGTCAACAAAAGGCGAGCGCCGATCGCCACCGCAGTGAGGGACCGGTGTACGCACCGGGAGATCGAGTCTGGCTCTCGACTCGAAACCTGCCCCTCCGCCTGCCCTGCCGGAAGCTGGGTCGGCGGTTTGTGGGGCCCTTCAAAGTCCTGAGAAGATTGAACGAGGTGTGTTACAGGTTACAACTGCCTATAGAGTATAAAAATATTAACCCCTCGTTCCATGTGTCTCTTCTCAGGCCGGTGGTAGCTGGCCCACTCCAAGAAGATGAGATAGGAGAGACCCCTCCGCCCCCTTTGGACATCGAGGGGGCCCCGGCGTACAGGGTCCGGACCATCTTGGACTCGAGGCGCCGGATGAGTGGTCTCCAGTATCTCGTGGAGTGGGAGGGGTACGGTCCGGAGGAACGGTGCTGGGTGCCCAGGAGGGACATACTCGATCCATCCCTCCTGACTGAGTTTCACCATGGGCATCCCACACGCCCAGGTCCGCGTCCTCCTGGCCGTCCCCGAGGCCGGGGTCGGCGCACGGCTGGAGCCGCGCGTCAAGGGGGGGGTACTGTCACGGTTTCGGCCGAGACTGCTCCTCCTCCTAGTTCGGGCAGGCTTCGGCGTTCGCCGTCCCCGGAGTACTAGCTGCCACCGCTCTATGTTTCGTCATTTGATTGCTTTTGTTTGTCTGTTACACCTGTGTCCATTTGTGTGTTGATTACGTGTCTTATAAGTTCCTTGTTTTGCACTAGAATGATTGTGTGTTGTTATGACTGCCACTGTGTCGGAGCTACGTGTTTGCACCCTGTTTGTTTTGTGTTTAGTGTTTACGCGTGTGCGTAATTTTCCCTCGCCTCTTGGTGTATTTCGAGGTCGGGGTTTTTCTCGTAAACATTAGACTATTAAAGTCTGTTGGACTTAACCTCTGTGTCCTGCGCCTGACTCCTCCACCACATCCACATCGGTTCTAGTGACAGTGGTGCGCACTGCGCAGAACACCGGAGGAATTGTCACTCAATTATCACTGTGAATCATTGTAATGTTTGTTTATTTATCAATTAATCCCGTAAGGTTAGGGTTGCTAACTGGCAATTTGACACCAAAATAAAATATAATTAATTAATTCACTGAATATTGGGGGGAATGACTACTTTCAATGTATGCGAAAAAATCTAAATCACCAAAAAGTGAGATGCAAGGTTCTTCCAGGATGCCGACGATATCGAAGAGAATAAGTCTCCACAGTGTTAGAGAAGATTGAGACAACACTATCTCCCAGAAGATCCTATCCCACACAGACAGTTCAATCTAGTTAACACTATATTGCATTTAATCATAAAGCCAAAATTCACAGGTTATATCAAAGGTTATGACAAATAGATGAATCACATGATTGACTCATCTCAGTGACTTATCTATATTACATGCAGTTATGTTAGCTACACACAATAACTATACAGTGTTAGTTGTAATCTACGTTGAACAGACTGACAATTGTGATATCCAATTTCATGGCACTTCAGTATCAGTGTAAGGATATCTATCCTCGCAATGAAAAATACCCTCCCTTTCTGAATGTTTGCCTCTAGTCTGGAGGGCTGGAGTATTTAAAGGTTGTCCAAACCATCCATCTCTCTCACTCTCTCCCTCTAACTCTATGCTGAAATATATTGCTCTTCTCTTCCAAACTCCTTAGGTTGATAGAAGATGGCGACTGCAGGAAAAGTATGTATCTCTGTCTTCACCCCTCTCTTTTTCTAATACATATCTGTATATATATATATTAATCTATTTGATGCAACTTTTATCACTTTTCTTTCTTTTGTATTTGTATGCATGTACAGTACACATACAGTTGGCTTCCTACCAAATTATTGTTATTGAGAGATATGCATGTGTGAAGGTGTAATGATAGAGTATCCTCTGCATAAGTTAACAGTCTGCATTTAAACTAGTTGATCAATCCTCTCTTAACTGTTATTGAACTGATATGTAATAATGTACAATCTGTGATTAAAAGTGTTTTGGTAAGATTTGATTAAGGTTGAGTGTGTACTTTAGAAAATGACAGTGAGTTGTGGCATACCCAGGGTTGGGTAGGTTACTTTCAAAATGTAATCCGTTACTAGTTACCTGTCCAAAATGTTAATCAGTAATGCACTTTTTGAATTATCCAAACTAATCGGATTGCTTTCAGTTACTTTTGGATTCATTTCCCCTTAAGAGGCATCAGAATAAGACAAAAATGATCCATCAAATGCAGATTACTCAGGTGGAACAAACTTAAACTTGCGCCTTTTTTCAATGCTGAATTGAATGTCATTGCGAAAACACCCGAAAAGTAATCTAATCCAAAAGTATCTGTAATCAGATTACAAAATATATAAAACATTTTAAAAATCTGATTACATGTTACATGTAAGATTACATGTAACTGATGACATGTAATCAGTAACTTCCCAAACCTGGACATACCATAGCACTCTAGTAATTACTTTTCAAGTTCAACAGAGGTTTGTCCTGCAGAATAACAACCTCTTGTTTGGGATAAATATCCTTTTGGAATTACGCAATAACTGGAATGGACTTTAAACCTGGCAGCTGCGGTCACTCGCTCACAAACACACACACACACACACACACACACACACACACACACACACACACACACACACACTGCAAACTCCATGCCTAATGTGAAGTATAGGATGTTTTTTGGGGGGAATCTTTGAAACTATCCAGATAGTTTTTGCACAACCATTGACATTGGCAGAGAGTGCATCTTGGATAAAGCCAATGGACAAAAAGATAAATATTTATATTGGTTAGAGGATTAGGGTTCGAGTTGCGCAACAGTGGAATTAATCAGATTGTACTGTAAAAAATGAAGTATATAAAGACTAGAATTAAGCCTTTTGCAGAAATACACTACATGACCAAAAGTATGGGGACACCTGCTCGTCGAGCATTTCATTCCAAAATCATGGGCATTAATATGAAGTTGGTCCCCCCTTTCCTGCTATAACTGCCTCCACTCTTCTGGGAAGGCTTTCCACTAGATGTTGGAACATTGCTGCTGGGACTTGCTTTAATTCAGCCACAAGAGCATTAGTGAGGTTGGGCACTGATGTTGGGCGATTAGGCCTGGCTCGCAGTTGGTGTTCTAATTCATCCCAAATGTGTTCGATGGGTTGAGGTCAGGGCTCTGTGGAAGCCATGAAGTTCTTCCACACCAATCTCGACAAACCATTTCTGTATGGACCTCGCATTGTGCATGGGGGCATTATCATGCTGAAACAGGAACGGCCTTCCCCAAACCGTTGGAAGCACAGAATAGTCTAGAATGTCATTGGATGCTGTACCATTAAGATTTCCCTTCACTGGAACTAAGGAACCTAGCCCGAACCATGAATAACAGCCCCAGACCATTATTCCTCCTCCACCAAACTTTACAGTTGGCACTATGCATTGGGGCAGGTAGCGTTCTCCTGGCATCCACCAAACCCAGATTAGTCCATCGGACTGCCAGATAGTGAAGCGTGATTTATCACTCCAGAGAACGCGTTTCCATTGCGCAAGAGTCAAATGGTGGTGAACTTTACACCACTCCAGCCGACACTTGGCATTGTGCATGCTGATCTTAGGCTTGTGTGTGGCTGCTCGGCCATGGAAACACATTTCATGAAGCTCCCGATGAACAGTTATTTTGCTGACGTTGCTTCCAGAGCAGTTTGGAACTCGGTAGTGAGTGTTGCAACCAAGGACAGACGATTTTTACGCGCTACGCGCTTCAGCACTCCGCGGTCCCATTCTGTGAGCCAAGTTCAATTAGACGTTTTCACATCACAGTAACAGCACTTATAGTTGACCGGGGCAGCTCTAGCAGGGTAGAAATTTTACGAACTGACTCGTTGGAAAGGTGGCATCCTATGACGGTGCCTCATTGAAAGTCACTGAGCTCTTCAGTAAGGCCATTCTACTGCCAATGTTTGTCTATGGAGATTGCATGGCTGTGTGCGCGATTTTATACACCTGTCAGCAACGGGTGTGGCTGAAATAGCCGAATCCACTAATTTGACGGGATGTCCACATACTTTTGTATATATAGTGTATATGTGAATGGTCCTATACAGTGGTGGAAAAAGTATCCAATTGTCATACTTGAGTAAAAGTAAATATACCTTAATAGAAAATGAAAGTAAAACAATATTTGGGTAAAAGTCTAAAAGTATTTGGTTTTAAATATACTTAAGTATCACAAGTAAATGTAATTATCAAAGGTAAAAGTATAAATCATTTCAAATTTCTTATATTAATTAAACCAGACGGCACCATTTTCTTGTTTTCAATTCTTCATTCATTATTTACAAACAAAGCATGTGTGTTTAGTGAGCCTGCCACATCAGAGGCAGTAGGGATGACCAGGGATGTTCTCTTGATAAGTGTGTGAATTTGATATTTTCCAGTCGTGCTAAGCTTTCAAAATGTAAGAAGTGCTTTTGGGTGTCAGTAAAAAGTACATTATTTTCATTAAGAATGTAGTGAAGATAAAGTAAAAGTTGAAATAGTAATGTACAAATACCTCAAAAAACTACTTAAGTAGTACCTTTAAAGTATTTTTACTTAAGTACTTTACACCACTGGTCCTGTATTGGCTTGTGTTGATGGCTGTGTTGGGTTGTGTTTTATAGGTGATTAAATGCCGCGCTGCAGTGGCATGGGAGCCAAGTAAACCCCTGGTGATGGAGGAAATTGAGGTGGCTCCTCCCCAGGCACATGAGATTCGCATCAAGGTGAGAGAGACCACAATCAATGCAAACACATACACAAAAGCTCTCATTTATGCAGTCCACACAAGGCTGATATTAACCTGGCCAAGTATGAGAGCACTCCTGAAGACACACAAGCACACATGAATACACATAACGTGCCATAGGACCAGTCGAAGGCGTACACATAAATAAACATGAGCATACAGAAACACTCCTGACACTCACGTGAGCAAATTTTGAGAACACTTTGTTTTTGTCCTGTTGAGTGCAGATAGTGGCCACGGGTGTGTGTCATACTGACCTGTACCACCTGTTTGAGGGGAAACACAAGGATGGCTTCCCTTGTGTCCTGGGTCATGAGGGGGCTGGGATCGTGGAGAGTGTGGGGTCTGAAGTGACCAAGTTCAATCCAGGTCAGAAATGCAGCTAGTAAACCTGTATTTTCAAATGGATACAAATAACAGTGTGTACGATAAAGCTGTGTACTCCGCCTGTCCTCCTGTTAGGTGATAAAGTCATCCCTCTGTTCATCTCCCAATGTGGCCAGTGCCGGTTCTGCAAGAGCCCAAAGACCAACCTGTGTGAGAAGGGCTGGTGAGGTCCCATTACTAGCCTTGTCTTGAGAAACTTTCACAATACTTTATTTTTTATATATTTTGTATATAACTTTTGTGTGTTATTCTTGCACTGAACATGAGCCAATCCCACCAGGGCCAGTGATAGGTATGATGTGATGTCAGAGTCAGACACCCGGTTCACCTGTAAGGGGAAGAAGGTGCTGCAGTTCATGGGGACCAGCACCTTCTCAGAGTACACCGTGGTCAATGAGATCGCTGTGGCCAAGATCCATCCCTCAGCCCCCCTCGACAAGGTCTGTCTCCTCGGCTGTGGAGTCGCCACCGGATATGGCGCAGCCCTTAACACAGCCAAGGTGTGAATTGTAACTTCAAAGTATCAGGTTTAGTTGTGGTGATGTCTTTGTATACTAAAGTGTTGATGCATAGGATACCTTTCCCCCCAGGTGGAGCCAGGGTCTACATGTGCTGTGTTTGGCCTGGGGGCTGTGGGGTTGGCAGCGGTCATGGGTTGCAAAAACGCTGGGGCCAAGAGGATCATCGCCATTGATATTAACCCGGCCAAGTATGAGAAGGCCAAGGTCTTCGGTGCCACAGAGTTTGTCAACCCCAAGGACCACAACAAACCCATCAGTCAAGTGCTTTCTGAGATGACCAATGGAGGAGTGGACTTTTCCCTAGAATGTGTGGGGAGTGTGGCCGTAATGGTGGGTTTAGATTGTGTGTTTGTATGATGTTGAGATAAATGCGTGCCTGCATGTGTGAGGGTGATGTCTTGATTGGTCTAAGGCACTGCATGGCAGTGCTAGCTGTGCCACTAGAGATCCTGGTTCGAATCCAGGCTCTGTCGTAGCCGGCCGCGACCGGGAGACCCATGGGGCGGCGCACAATTGGCCCAGCGTCGTCCAGGGTAGGGGAGGGAATGGCTGGCAGGGATGTAGCTCAGTTGGTAGAGCATGGTGTTTGCAACGCCAGGGTTGTGGGTTCGATTCCCACGGGGGGCCAGTATGAAAAAAAATAATGTATGCACTCACTAACTGTAAGTGGCTCTGGATAAGAGCGTCTGCTAAATGACTAAAATGTAAAAATGTAAATGTATTGATATCTCTCTTTAGAGGAGTGCCTTGGAGTCATGTGTTAAGGGATGGGGAGTAAGTGTGCTGGTCGGATGGACTGACATGGATGACTTTGCTGCCAGACCCATTCAGCTCATAGCTGGCCGCACCTGGAAAGGATCTCTGTTTGGAGGTGTGCCACCTGTCAATCAACTGTCAAACACTATACAGGTATTTGGGTGTGTGTGATATATTTCTATCTGTGTGTATGTCTGTGTGTGTGTCTGCCAGGTTTTAAGAGTAAGGACGGTGTGCCCCAGCTGGTGAATGAGTACCTGGAGAAGAAGGTGAAGCTGGATGAGTTTGTCACCCACAACATGACCCTGGACCAGGTCAATGACGCCATCCAGCTCATGAAGACTGGAGACTGGTAACTTTCACATTAGTACTGTTTGTCCCTGTGAGAAGTTTAATTTAATGTTCAGAAAAATAAATGCTTGTTTTCTTTTGTTCTCCTTGTTTTGCAGTATCCGGTCAGTCCTGAGTGTGTCACTGCAGTAACAGGGTCAACTCAACCCAGCCAATCACACATATTCTTTCCTGCTCAGCCAATCAACGAGCAAAACTATACAATATGGCTTGATAAACCAATGATTCACTATATCACAATTGGTATTAGTAGGGGTGAATACTCAATGGTAGGTAGCATACTGTAGGCTTGCTGATTATAACCATTGTAACAACAGTGATAATCATAATGTTCTTCTTTTGTTATGTTGCCTGGTAGCCAATTATGTTTCTGCTTTAGTCATTGTCAAGTTTGAGTTGGATAAAGTACAATGAGATCTGGCTATCATGTTGCCATGTATGTCAGTTTTTAATAAAATAATTCCCCACTTCTCAGTCGTTGCTCAATTTTTATTTTATTTATTTTTATTTCACCTTTATTTAACCAGGTAAACCAGTTGAGAACAAGTTCTCATTTACAACTGCGACCTGGCCAAGATAAAGCAAAGCAGTGCGATAAAAACAACAACACAGAGTTACATATGGGGTAAAACAAAACAAAGTCAAAAATACAACAGAAATACAATTAATATACAGTGTGCAAATTTAGCAAGTTATGGAGGTAAGGCAATAAAATAGGCTATAGTGCAAAATAATTACAATTTAGTATTAACACTGGAATGATGTGCAAGAGATGATGTGCAAAAAGAGATACTGGGGTACAAATGAGCAAAATAAATAACAATATAGGGATGAGGTAGTTGGGCGGGCTAATTTCAGATGGGCTGTGTACAGGTGCAGTGATCGGTAAGGTGCTCTGACAACTGATGCTTAAAGTTAGTGAGGGAGATAAGTGTCTCCAGCTTCAGAGATTTTTGCAATTTGTTCCAGTCATTGGCAGCAGAGAACTGGAAGGAATTGCGGCCAAAGGAGGTGTTGGCTTTGGGGATGACCAGTGAGATATACCCGCTGGAGCGCAGACTACGGGTGGGTGTTGCTATGGTGACCAATGAGCTAAGATAAGGCGGGGATTTGCCTAGCAGTGATTTATAGATGGCCTGGAGCCAGTGGGTTTGGCGACGAATATGTAGTGAGGACCAGCCAACAAGAGCGTACATGTCACAGTGGTGGGTATTATATGGGGCTTTGGAGACAAAACGGATGGCACTGTGATAGACAACATCCAATTTGCTGAGTAGAGTGTTGGAGGCTATTTTGTAAATGACATCGCCGAAGTCAAGGATCGGTAGGATAGTCAGTTTTACGAGGGCATGTTTGGCAGCATGAGTGAAGGAGGCTTTGTTGCGAAATAGGAAACCGATTCTAGATTTAACTTTGGATTGGAGATTCTTAATGTGAGTCTGGAAGGAGAGTTTACAGTCTAACCAGACACCTAGATATTTGTAGTTGTCCACGTACTCTAGGTCAGACCCGTCTAGAGTAGTGATTCTAGTCGGGTGGGCGGGTGCAAGCAGCGTTCGGTTGAAGAGCATGCATTTAGTTTTACTAGTGTTTAAGAGCAGTTGGAGGCTACTGAAGGAGTGTTGTATGGAATTGAAGCTCGTTTTGAGGTTTGTTAACACAGTGTCCAATGAAGGGCCAGATGTATACAAAATGGTGTCGTCTGCGTAGAGGTGGATCTGAGAGTCACCAGCAGCAAGAGCGACGTCATTGATATACACAGAGAAAAGAGTTGGCCCAAGAATTGAACCCTGTGGCACCCCCATAGAGACTGCCATAGGTCCAGACAACAGGCCCTCCGATTTGACACATTGAACTCTATCTGAGAAGTAGTTGGTGAACCAGGCGAGGCAGTCATTTGAGAAACCAAGGCTATTTAGTCTGCCAATAAGAATGCGGTGGTTGACAGAGTCGAAAGCCTTGGCCAGGTCAATGAAAACGGCTGCACAGTACTGTCTATTATCGATCGCGGTTATAATATCATTTAGGACCTTGAGCGTGGCTGAAGTGCACCCATGACCAGCTCGGAAACCGGATTGCATAGCGGAGAAGGTACGGTGGGATTCGAAATGGTCGGTGATCTGTTTGTTGACTTGGCTTTCAAAAACTTTTGAAAGGCAGGGCAGGATGGATATGGGTCTGTAACAGTTTGGATCTAGAGTGTCACCCCCTTTGAAGAGGGGGATGACCGCGGCAGCTTTCCAATCTCAATCAATGCTAGGTAAACAGATTGGCGGTTATAAGTTATCCTATCTCATACCTTAGTTTGCGTATCTAAACATAAAGTCGCTGTGAGCGACAATAACTTATCAGTATGGTATCCGGGCCTTTTCAATACCCTTTATCAGTGTAATGTCTGTGCTCAAACATTATTATTATTAATATTATTATATAACCAGAGTATATTTCCACACAAACATGTTTCAACAACACTTACATGCTTCTCCAGGTTATTCTGTTATGATACTTATTGTCATACAAGTGATTGTGTTTGTCAAGGAGTGACAGACAGTGACCCAGTTGTTTCTTTCTTTGTTTTTTAATCAGACAGTGTAGCCTAGTCTTCATAATAATATTTTCAGGGATCAGCTTGTCCCTACATATTCTGTAGTTATATTTATCTATGTAATTGAAATGGAGTAGGATTGATTCCGGTATTATAAAGATGTTTATAACACATTGCTGCTATCAGAACTTCGATAAAAACCAGAGAGTGATACAAATTTAGTAATTGAAGTGACACAAATTGCCTGAAAAGTGACAGAAGCAGCCTGGATCAAACACACAAACACACAAACATCAAAGTGGTGATGTGACACACACCATATGTGATCACAAGCATACTGCAGAGTGGCACACACTGCCAAGATGAAATTGCACAAGCTGACAGGGAATGGCAACCTGATCACATAGAAATGAAAGGGAAATGTGTTTCAGAATAAAACAAATAAAAAAGTACAGGTCTGATTACAGGTAATGAAAGCACTGTTTCAATTCCAATTCCATGCATCTTTATTTTCCCAGAAGGCCAATTTGTTGCAGCATTTACAGAATGAGAAACAAACAGACATTGGTAAATCATAACTGATTTTAAAAACAACTGTCTTTTGAGAGACATTTTCTAACATTACAGTAAAAACAAAGTATTTTACGATAAACAAGCGAACTGTCTACTGTACATGGTGGAGAAAATAAGTGTCTGAAGCCTTTTGGCATTGTTAGGACAGATGTATTGTATCATTCAAAGATTGGGAACAAAAACAGAGATGAGGAACTTCAGATGATGGTTATGAAAGAGACATTCTCATCCTTGGAAGTGTTATTCATCTGTGGTTTATAGTCAATTTCCTCTTCCTGAACTGTACACACACACACACACACCTTTGCATATGCATGCATACACACACTTTTAAAACAGCTTTAAGTGTAAAAACATAACAAAAAGGTTAACCTAAAATGTGATGGACCCCAGATTTCACATGGAGGAATATTTAGTGATGTTTGTGAGAACTCAGTCCACATAATAATTCTGACCCTCAGCCGGTCCTTCAAAGTCAATACCACAGTCAACAGTTTACCCAGTAACAACACACAGTTACTGGGTAACCAGCAGTGACGTGCAGTCAGGGTAGGCAGGGTGGGCAGTGCTTAAGATTACCCTGTAATAATCGTATAAAAAAATATGTAATGAAAAGCCAAATGAAACATTTAATTATATAAAACATTGTCCTACTTTTTTTATTATCTAATGTTTTTATGCTCAAAATGTGTTACAACTGCATCAAAACAGGAAAGATGCCAGGGTATTCATGTCTTTCTTTCCATCCATCCATTCAAAGCCATTCAAATCCTTGACACGCGCAGCCTAATCTGACTCCAGTCACTGTTAATGAACAGGGTCAGCATAAGTGTCGCTGCTTTGCCTAGCTTGTAGTTCCATTTGAGACGATTTCATATTTTGCGCATGTGTATTGCCAAAACATGTTGTGTGGGTATTGCCCTAGGGTAAGCCGTGCATAGGCAACCACCATGACACCATCTCCCTCACTGCTAGCTGTCGAGCAGCAGGCGAACAGTGAGTACTGGACTGTCCACTTGTCTGAAACGTCATTACCAATTCATACTTTTTACCTGGAGTTTTACACATCTTGGACATTTACTTTTGCTTTGTGGACGTAAAGAATGGGAATGACTTTGTGTCAGTGTCGAAAGTGAACCTTGTATTTGCAATCACAATGAGGAGAGAGCTTGCTAGCTCGCTAGCTAGCTCAGGGATTCAAAACTGACCTGATGGAAAAGGCAAGACATAGCTAATATATCTTACTAAATATAAAGTGTTATGTCGCGTTTGCTATTTAGAAGTAAATACACTACATGACCAAAAGTGCTCATCGAACATCTCATTCCAAAATCATGGGCATTAATATGGAGTTGGTCCCCCCTTTGCTGCTATAACAGCCTCCACTCTTCTGGGAAGGCTTTCCACTAGATGTTAGAACATTGCTGCGGGGACTTGCTTCCAGTCAGCCACAAGAGTGTTAGTGAGGTCGGGCACTGATGTTGGGCGATTAGGCCTGGCTCGCAGTCGGCGTTCCAATTCATCCCAAAGGTGTTCGATGGGGTTGAGGTCAGGGTTCTGTGCAGGCCAGTCAAGTTCTTCCACACAGATTTCAACAAAACATTTCTGTGTGGACCTCGCTTTGTGCACGTGGGCATTGTCATGCTGAAACAGTAAAGTGTCTTCCCCAAACTGTTGCCACAAAGTTAGAAGCACAGAATCGTCTAGAATTTCATTCTACGCTGTAGCGTTAAGATTTCCCTTCACTGAAACTAAGAGGCCTATCCCGAACCATGAAAAACAGCCCCAGACCATTATTCCTCCTCCACAAAACTTTACAGTTGGCACTATGCATTTGGGCAGGTAGCATTCTTCTGGCATTCGCCAAACCCAGATTAGTCCGTCGTATTGCCAGATGGTGAAGTGTGATTCATCACTCCAGAGAACACTTTTCCACTGCTTCAGAGTCAAATGGCGGCGAGCTTTACACCACTCCAGCCGACGCTTGGCATGTCATGAAGCTCCCGACAACAGTTATTGTGCTGACGTTGCTTCCAGAGGCAGTTTGGAACTCGGTAGTGAGTGTTGCAACTAAGGACATACAATTTTTACGCGCTATGCCCTTCAGCACTCGGCGGTCTCATTCTGTGAGCTTGTGTGGCCTACCACTTCGCGGCTGAGCCATTGTCGCTCCTAGATGTTTCCACTTCACAATAACAGAACTTACAGTTGACCGGGGCAGCTCTAGCAGGGCAGAAATTTGACGAACTGACTTGTTGGAAAAGTGCCATCCTATGACGGTGCCACGTTGAAAGTCACTAAGCTCTTTAGTAAGGCCATTCTACTGCCAATGTTTGTCTATGGAGATTGCAT